AACGGGAAAAGTACGGGGAAAAGTACTTCGGTGTGAACGCGCCTATAGAGTCCAGTAGAGGGCGGAGCCTGTGAGAGATATAACATGTTTTGTCATATTGAAAAATTGTATGTTTGTCAAAGGGGCAAGATTTTGATCACAATGGTCACAGTTGGCTAGAATGAAACTTGGGAAAAACTCCCAGACTGAAATGCCTCTTGTTCGATCCCATTAAAGATAACAAGCAGTGAGTGTCTTTTTATCAAGATGAGTTAGTGACAGTATAATGTAATAGAAACTGTTGGCCTGAAAGGACCTCATAAACACGTTACAGCTCATGTTTACATACTGAAACAAAAAATATATAATTATATATCGTTGAACAATTTCGGCACCAAAATATTTTTTTCTTTGTCAAAATTATACTTCTCTCCATGGACTGTATATATATGTATTTCTAATTTAGATGTCTATCAACCTAACCCCAGTCTCACATTTCAAACTGCATACTTCAAAGGAAGTTTTGCATTTTTACTGGCAGTCGTTCTTGGTTCACTGGTCGGTGGCGTAGCCTACTCGGACTCAGTTACTAAGTAATAAGTCCTTTGTAAGAAGAATTGAGCTTTGGATTGAATGGCTGCTTAGGAATTTGTGGACACATAAAAACTGCAGTTAAATTCTCTTTGAGAAATGGGTTTTTCCACACTTTCACAACCACTGTCTTCTCTTTGTGCAAACAAAACCAAGTTGTGTTTTCTGTTTCTGTGCCAAAGACATTTGAAAATAAATGTATAGTTCAACCCAAACTGAAATAATTTAAACCCAACATCTGATGATTTGGATATCAGTCCAGCTTCTTCTTTCAAAACATTTTTTCTGTGTGTTTGTTTGTTTGTTTTAGTGTGTGAGGTTGGTGTACACATATGTTTCCCTGTGGAGGTTTATCTCTAACTGAGAGGAAACAGAGGCTGACTGAGAAGCTGCTGCCTCCCTTTGGGCAGAGTGAGAATCACAGACAGAAGAGCCAAACGTCACAGAGTTCAACTTGTTTCTTTCATGTCAGAGTTACAACATCTAAAAGTCACAGGATCCAGATCTGTCAGATACGTCGTATATCACAGCACTTGCACTTACACTGACTCCTCTATGCGTCCCTTACCCTCACAGCCCACACCAATTCACATACATGTCTCTTTTCCTGTGATCTTCTCTGAACAAAAAAATACTTTATGTGTCCATACTTACAATCAGCCTATAGTCTGACTGACAGATCCCACACAGACTGAACAAAGCTGCGCTCAAAGCTCAACCGCAGCTTTTATTCCACACCGTGTGCTCTTCATGCTTTGTTTCCACTCAATTCAATTTCTTCTGGAAATGTATATCCGAAATAATAAAGACCCAGGTCTACATTTCACAGACTCTGTAATCATCTAACAACAGAAAGGTTGTTTTAAAGTTTCAAGTGTGTGACGATTCGAAGTATGGTTAGTTATGCTGAAGCCCATAGATGATTCTGCTTATTATATACCTATTTTAAAACAAAACTGTTATAATGTGGAGACACTGTGATCCACAATTTTCATTGGAGGTGTGTTAAAGATAGAAATGTTTTTGGTACTTAACGCAAAGAGAGTAACCGAGGATTGATCAATCACAATATATTTTTTATGTTCATGCTGAGATACTTAAGGCTTGTTTAATATTAGGAAAGATTAAGGTCTTGAATAAATATTGAAAATGTCAAAAGCGTTAAAGCACATGACAATGTTTACTTTCTTGACGTTTAATCTTCCTCACTGAAAAAATTTCACAGTTAAGTTAGGACATTCCCGATATCTATTTAGATTCCCGCATCATGTCATCCATAGTTTGAGAAGGTGTAATACAGAGAAAATACCAGGCACAAGACCTTATTTGGTCCGTCGGACATTTTCGTCAGAAGTGTCATCTATTGTCATTTAAATGGGCTTGACTCATCTGTCCGTCAGAACCTTACTCCGCCCCCCTGCTGATTAAGGTGAAACTGATAAGAGGTCAGGGGGATTTAGGAGGGAAGATTATCTAAATAAATATTCTGATGCGACAAGCAAAAAGCATAGCTTGGATTGTATTTAAATGGTGTGTTTTATCAGGCTTGTGGCACTATACGCAAAGCAGTGTCACATGTTTTCTTTTGTTAGACTTAATGACACAGGATGGTTGGGGGAGGGTAAACAGGTTATGGGTAAGTGGAGTTTGGGGGTGTGGACCTGATGACAAAGCTGCCTAACTCCATGGCCCCTCCTCACTCTCACAAAGGAACATATGTACCTGTTCTCCTCTGTATCCTCTCACATTTACCAAACTCACCTGCCTGAAGACGAGCCTCATCCACAGAAGAGGACAAACAATACACAGCCTTACGTCACTTACCAGGGAGGAACTACAGAGAGGCCTTTCAAGTCCTGAGTTTCATCTGAAGCAACTGAAACAACAAATCAGCCCTCCACCATGGTGTCTGCTGGGATGCAGATCCTGGGCGCAGCTCTAGGGATCCTGGGATGGATCGGTGCCATCATCGTGTGCGCCATGCCCATGTGGAAGGTCACTGCTTTTATCGGCAGCAACATCGTGACCTCGCAGACCTCATGGGAAGGTATTTGGATGACCTGTGTGCACCAGAGCACGGGCCAGATGCAGTGTAAGGTGTACGACTCCATGCTGGCTCTCAGCTCCGACATGCAGGCCGCCCGGGCTCTGATCATCCTTTCCATCGTGGTGGGCGTCCTGGCTATCCTGCTCTCCGTAGCCGGGGGGCAATGCACCAACTGTGTGGAGGATCCGGCGTCCAAGACCAAGGTGGGCATTGCAGCTGGAGTTATGTTCATCGTAGCCGGGGTCCTCTGCCTAATCCCTGTCTGCTGGACGGCCCACACCATCATCCAGAACTTCTACAACCCCCTGATGGTCAGCGCCCAGAAGAGAGAGTTGGGCGCCGCGCTCTACATCGGGTGGGGGGCGGGTGCCCTGATGCTGATCGGAGGGGGGCTGCTCTGCTGCAAATGCCCCACTAAGGACGAAGGATCCTACACTGCAAATTACAATGCTGCCAGATCTGAGGCCTCAGCACCAGCCTCCGGCAAAGACTTTATCTGAAACAGAGCTAGGAGTCAGTAAACGCTTCCTGAAGCACTGTTTACTGGGACAGATGCACTGGTGCTACTGGGTTGTGAGTGTTGATACTGTATTTCAGATGTATGTTTTGTTATTGTATTGTTATGTATGTATATGTATGTATTCCTGAGTTTTATTCCACATAAGAGCGTTGAAGGAAATAAACAGCGAGAAAGGAACCACACCCAAAGAGGAAATTCAGTTTGAATTGTTCATACAATTACTTGTATATGTTTGGTTGTTAATATGAATATTAGTCATTTTGTAAGTCTTTTTCATAGAAATATGAAAATGATATAATCTTATTTGAAACGCTGTATGTGGGTATCCTTTTTTTTTTTTACAACTAAGTGTATGAGATTTGTTTAACTGCTATTTACACTGTAAATAAATATTTTGTTTACAAATCAAAGTTTAAGTGTGCTTGCTTTTTTATGTTTACATTCACACAACAGCTGTGTGTCTTGAAATAGAACAATATAATAATCATTAAAAGATCCTTTAACTAATATTGTATTCACTGATTTTCACATTAATTGTAATTTTTATACATGAATTGACAAATAAATGCCTGATCATCAAAACTTTACGATTAAAACAAGGTTAATATGAAAAACACAATAATAAATAACGTCTGAGGGCAGTTGTTGTCCGACTTTCTTGTAATTCAGGTTTAGGTGTGGCAGAAAAAAGAGACAAGGTGGTTAGAACCTGTCTTTGTTCAAACTGTGAGCCTGCAGGCAAAGAGGTTTAAACATTAACTGTAGGAACAATATTTAATCTGTCAAGAAAGTACATATGAAAATACCAGGAAATGTCATATTCCGCTTTCACAAAGTTAATTTCCTTCCCCCAGAAATCTTTCCTGACCAATATGATTAAGTCCTATACTTGACTAATAATATAATATTATATACCCATATAACTAGATTTAATACAGCATTTTATATCTGAGTTAATATTATTTATTATATAAATGAAAAAGCATGTCAAGGGTTAACTCTATGTAGTTTAAATGATACATTGAATTATTGAATTATAAATCTTTCTCTTCTTTTTATAAATATTCACTACCTGGTCTTTTTTTTGCTGAGTATGTTTACCCAAACTCTGAAGTTTAGTGTTTGCCCAAGGCTTAATTTGTGTGTGTGTGTGTGTGTGTGTGTGTGTGTGTGTGTGTGTGTGTGTGTGTGTGTGTGTGTGTGTGTGTGTGTGTGTGTGTGTGTGTTTGTGTGAGCACAGGTGGGATCTGGGGCCATTGTTCCCGGTCTCAAAGTCTTGCTTGGGGTAACAAAGCTTAGTATGTGGGAACAATGGAGAGAGAGAGAACAAGGTTTGTGGATATCAAGTCTCAGCTTTCCCCTTTTGTCCGCGGACACAGAAACTCCACCCTGAAAGTTGGAACCACGGAGTAGTTATCTTCTCACAGTTGGACCTCAGAGCATCAGAGCAGAGCAAACCCTTCCTCATGCAGGGTGAGAGAGGAGCATAAGAGAACAAATACAACCCCTGTTGAGTTTTAGCACAACCTCTGAGACATTTCTGTAAGAGGCGTAGAAAGTTGATTCCTGGCTGCAGTGGCATTATCATGGCTTCTCAAGGCCTCCAGATCATGGGTGTGCTGCTGGCCTTCATCGGCTGGCTGGGCACCATCATCACCTGCGCCATGCCCATGTGGAGAGTCACCGCTTTCGTCGGGGCGAACATCGTCACGGCCCAGGTGATCTGGGAGGGCCTGTGGATGACCTGCGTGGTCCAGAGCACGGGACAGATGCAGTGCAAGGTGTACGACTCCATGCTGGCTCTGCCTCAGGACCTGCAGGCCGCCAGGGCCATGGTGGTCATCGCTGTGATCGTCGGGGTGTTTGGCATCCTCATGGCCATGGTTGGAGGGAAGTGCACCAACTGCATGGAGGACGAGGTGGTAAAAGCCAAAGCTTGCATTGTGTCCGGAGTGATCTTCATAATAGCAGCATTTCTGATAATGATCCCGGTGTCGTGGTCAGCTCACGCAGTGATCAGGGACTTTTATAACCCCATGGTGATCGCTGCTCAGAGGAGGGAGCTCGGGGCGGCTCTGTATATCGGTTGGGGCTCCGCTGGGCTGCTGCTGCTGGGAGGGGGCCTGCTCTGCAATAACTGCCCCCCAAGAGAAGGCACCAGACCCTACATACCTGCCAAGTTCGCCCCTGCAAGAACCGCATCTTCAAATGTGGACTATGTGTGAGTGTTCAGAGTGGAACTGCAGCATGAAATGTCGGGAGGTTTATTCTTATTTAAAAAAAAACTTGTTTGTGGAAAAAAAAATGTGGAGCATTTAATTCACAAAAGACAGCACAGTTAAGTCCTGTATATTTCCTTGTTCTTTTGTCTGCTTGTTTTTACTTTTGTTAATTGACACATGGTGTCAAATATACCTTTTTACGTGACAATGCTTTCACAAATAAATATTTCCCTTGTGAATCTAAGGATGTAACATTTCTATGCAATAATATTTTCTTCGGAATATAATACCTACTATAACGAGTTGTTTTATACATAAAGTATGAGACTAAATGGATTATTATTTAGACTTCTGATCAGAGAAAAATGTGACTGAAAAGCATTTTGGAAAAATTGACATCATACGCAGATTTTAATATTGAACAATGTGCAGTTGAAGCAGATCTGATGTAATTGTATAATGATGAAAGGGTCACAGACTTTTGAAATTGCTTTCAAATGTCAGAAATAAAGCTTCTTTGTTCCAACGTTGCTCTCTCATGTTCTCTCTGCACCTTCACCAAACACAGCAATAAAACTGAAACTGAACTTCTCAAAGCACTCGTGACAAGGCATTCAGGAATTCAGGAGAACAGCCTCCTGGGAATGTACTGTATCTGCTTGAGATGTTTGCCATGGCCTAATCCACCGCTCTTGTACAGAGACGGTAATTTACAATGTCTCTCTCGACTAGAATGGATGTCACTGCCACCGAGAGACAACAATGTGCTGTGTATGCTTAGATTCATGTTGCTAAGGAACTGCTCTTTATCTCCAAAGAATGGATATTTACATGTTGCCCAGTTAAAGCACATCTGCCAAGTATTGTCAGGATGATATATAGTAAACCTCTTTAACGGTTTTCTTTTTGTTTACAGACATTTTCAATTGAAACCAGTCCAACAAGAAACACAATACGCTGCTGTAATTTCTCACTCTTGTGTCCGTTTCCATTCAAGGCACTCAGATGAGATCAGGCCAGGGGAATAAGAATTCAGATCATTAAGTAAAAGTATCAGTGCTAAAAAAATAGTTAGCAAGTAAAAGTCCCTATCTTAATTGTCATGTAGGGAAAAGTACGGACGTTTTATCAGCAAAATGTCGGATTGTTTATGCTAGAATGGAAAGCAACGTTTTAAGGATTTAGCTGATCAAATTTAATTTAATTATGTCAAGTCAATTCTATTGCCCAGCATTTAGCCCAATAAAACAAATAAGAGGCTTTACAATCGGTACAGCATACAACACCATCTGTCCTTAAACCTTACTGTTATATAGGTTAAACAATGCAATATGTTTTGTGTAATTTTTAAACTCCAAAGTAAATATTAACAATTTTATTTTAAATATCTAAACAGTGCAACTTTTCCATCTGATATTTAAGAGAAAATAAATATCGCGATACTTTGCTTAGTACATCAATATTGTGTTCAACCAGATGAAATACATCATACATACATTCAGTTTGTCTGAAGGAAAAACAATTAACGTGCCATTTTTATTTTATTTTTCAAAAAACATGAATAAAAACGTCAGAAGAGTCTTACCCTGAATTAATACTGAAATTATAACACAAAACAATCAAATATAAAAGCATTAAGCATCAAACTCAACTTCATGTTGCATTAATATAACATGGCACATACCGTAGAGTCTCTTGAACATTTCAGAAACAAAAGGCCACAGTGTGTTCGAATTGTTTTTTAGTAAAAATGAAAATCACAACTCGATAAGCAACAGGTGTGTACTGTAGTCAGGTTGTGCGTGTTGTTTAGCGCAGAATTTCAGACAAATTCCTTCCCGGGTGTTGTGGATTTAGGCGCAGAGTACTTGGCTCCGTTGTAGCGGTCTCCTCCTCCTGCCGGGCACTGAAAGCAGAGAAGAGAGCCGCCGACCAGCAGAAGTCCTGATGCTGCCCAGCCCACGTACAGACACGCTCCCAGCTCCCTCCTCAGGGAGTCAGGAACCATGGGGTTGTAGAAGTCCTTGATGACTGTATTAGCAGGCAGAGACACGGTCACCAGGCACAGAGCCCCACTCAGGATGAAGAAAAAACCTGCAGTCATGGCAACTCTGGCTTTTGCTACCTTGTCCCCAACGCAGGTGGTGCATTTCCCTCCGACCACAGAGAGCAGCAGGCCGAACAGAGAGAACAGGATGGCGATGACCACCATAGCCCGAGCAGCCTGGAGGTCCTGAGGCAGGGCCAGCAGGGAGTCGTACACCTTGCACTGCATCTGACCGGTGCTCTGCACAACGCAGGTCATCCACAGGCCCTCCCAGATGGTCTGAGCCACCACAATGTTGTTCCCAATGAAAGCTGACACCTTCCACAGGGGCAGCATACAGATCAGTATGTTTCCAATCCATCCCAGCACAGCCAGTGCTACGCCGACAATCTGCAGCCCCAAAGATGCCATTTCTGTTTGGTGGTTCTGCTTCTCTTTGCTTCCTTACAGTTCTTCACTGGGCTGCCAACTAAAAGCTTTCTCCCTGCAGGGACGTTTTATGTGCCCTACCAATGCCCCTATGTGGCCCCCTCTGCCGGGTGGGCTTTGGCTTCAATGCTCAAATATAAAGATCCATCATTCTGCCAGAGTTCCAACGTGTTTCTCTCCTACAAAGAGGCCCTCTGATACCCCAGCACAGCTATGGGAAAGAAAAGAAGCTTTCTTTCAAAAGCTTGCTACAGTAAATAGCTGTCGTTGTGGAGACTTTAGAAAAGTTAAAAACATGGAATTTCTTTATCTAGAGCTTTGCGCTTACTTTCTTTGTTACTACAAACAAAAGATATTCCCAACCAGTAATATATTGAGACACTGAGAAACTCAGTGAGTAAACAGAAGAAAAGTTGATGTGTTTATTTAAATATGTGTTTAGGATGAAACCAAATGTACTAGGACAGTATACACAGTCAGATTATATATTTTAATACCATGTACTGCAAACTGACATTGTGTACGTTTTCAAACATTTATATCAGTCATGATTTCTGAACAATTGCCATTCTTGTCAAGCACCACAAGCAGAAGGCCATCTAGTGGTAATATGTTTGAGGGAAGGAAGATGTCTTTAAGGTGGATACTGCCAGCATTTTACATTAGGCTTATATAAAACCTTCAGTAAAAAGCTCAAACATACTATATATTCTAATAATGATGATCCTCAAGTGCAACTTGTGGCACCTGAAATGATGAAACATTGATTAACCAGCTGGCATAGCCATATAGACAATAGCTGAACAATTAAAGCAACAAAATGCAAAAACAATTCCAGGAGATAGTTCACTTTTTATTAATGTCTGCCTTTGCTGTGGAAAAGGGGGGAAATAAAGTCACAATCTTACAATGTCAAAAATAAATAAAGCACAATGTATTGCAATACATTCTTCTCATACTCCAATTTCTCAATATATAGTTTGAGTTTCTTCCTCTCCAGTTCTTTTTGATGTTGTCTATCTTCAGGTTACATTTATAGATACATACATATGCATACATGTACAATACTTATTTTTGAAAACCTAGAAATGGATGTCATATGCTGAGGGGAATTTTGCAAATGTCCTCTCCATGTGAAATAAATCAGCAAGCAAAGATAGTAAATTATTGAAATGTTACAGGTCACCTGAGGCAGATAATATAGACTACCAGATGAGTGTCATTGATAAATTAGGCCATCACTACTTCCTTACTAACCTACTCTAGTCTACAAGTTACAAGTATCTCCTTCAACTGTAAGTTAGACTTTTCACACAAATGAACACAACAAGAATTTGGCTCCCATGAATAAACCAATTATTATACGTAGGATTGTAGTGGGAGCTGCCACCAGGATCAGTACTAACACCCCCACTTCAACACATTTTTGATTGGCCGACCTAGATTGTTAAAAAGTAAAAAAAACAAAAAAAACAGGAAGACTGGAGGACAGCTAGCTCCAACAGACCATTTCAGAGCAGCTGGCCCTCCTCTAATGTTTTCCCTGTCTGCAGGAAAGATTAACATTTTACAGAGTATCTGTATACTGATACAAATGAATGATGAAGGTTAATTAAATAGTACATACCACTTTGAAGAAGGTCTACATCCTCAGCCCTGATTTGCTGCCAAGTCCATTTCACAGTGCTGGTACTGCATAGAAAACCGATTAGGAAACAGAAAGTCCAAAGGTGTTCTAAAGACACATCCACAACTTTCAGAGCAATTGAAAGTACAATTTTTATAAATGTTGTCGTATCCACAGAATACAAGGTTACCAAGCAGAACAACATTGTGTGAAACACGCACAGACACAGAAATGAATACATATATTAATGTTAGTAACAAATAAACGTATAAATACATTAAAGATACATGTGTTCTGTTTTGTTCTTAACTTATATATTTTTATTTATACACTTGTTTATTTTTTCTAGTGTTTATTTATTCCTGTATTTATATCCACATTTATTTATTTATTCCTGTATTTATGTCCATATTTATGTATTTATTTTTGCATTTATTTATTATTGTATTTATTTATGCATCTATTTAATCCCACAGTTATTTTTTTACACACTTTGACCCACCTGGGGATTTGTGTTCAAATGAAGCCTCAGATGAACCCTTTTGCAAACCAATTGGCTGGAAAGCTTCAAAGCTTCATAAGGCTTCATCTCGCCATCACTAGTGATCTGTCTATTTTTCTTTGTTAAGGAGTCAAACGATGCACCAAAGCCCCCTTTTTTTAAAAGAGCAAATAGCCTTATGAAATAACCTCATCCATCATACACATTATCTCTTATTAGTGTTTAAATTAAGGTAGTGATGCATAGCCGTGGGAACATGTTTCAAATGGGGGGTGCTGTGGGGATGACACCAGGGCCAGTTTTGACCAATTTGCTGCCCTAGGCAAGATTTTAGCTGGCAATGAAAAACCTCTACAAAAGACCAATACACTACAAAAAGAGAAACGTATTGACATGGTGGACAGCTTATATAAAGAGGCTTCAAATGTATTTAGTATTGCATGAATATATTTTAATTGGGGGGTGGACTTCACATCCTCATTTTTTAACATTTTAAAGTAAAATGCTTCAATCTGGTGCACTTTGAGCGCCCAATTACTAGAGACTGATCTAGGGGATACAACTCTAAACACCCATATGAAAAAGATCGGTTTACATTTTAATAATCAAATAATATATGTGAACATAACCAATAACCTACCATAGCCAATAACAAATAAATGTAGGCTAACTTGTTTTATTTTTGTGGTTCATTTATATCTAATTTTACCAGTTAACATTTATTTATTTATGCATATTTTTAAATCTCTCCAGTTTTAAACAATATTTTGGGTTTACTGTCCTATAGTATACATTGGAATGATTTCAAACCTGTTCTTACTTATCCTAATAATTATAAAGGAGTGCCTTGGAAATA